AGCTTTGAAACAAAACCAATTTGTTTCAAGTAATCATAAACAGTTCAGTTTGACAAATTTAATCTCTTAGTGATTTCATGTGTTGTTATTCGGCAGTTTGCTTCAATCAGTGCCTTTATTTTGTTTTCATTGGCTTCAACTGGCCCTTTAGAACGTGGTGCATCTTCAATATTGAAATTGCCAGAAAAAAATTTTGTAAATCAGTTTTGGCACTGTCGTTCTGCCAACACATCATCTTCATACATGTACCCCAATTTTTTTCTTGCTTGAACAGCATTTTGATTTTTTGGTAATAAAAAAGCAAAATATGCCGAAAATGATGCTTTCGATCTTCCATGTTTGATGGGACACAAAAAATACACAATTGCACAAAATCAAACAAAATTTTTTACAAATAATCCATAAAATGCTAGCAGTCAAAATATATAATGATAATATGGTTTAGAATGAAAATGGCGGGAAAAATACAATTAATCCATCTAGTGGTAAAAAAAAACGAACTTACTTTTTGAACAACCTAATAATTGATCTCTCAGAATGTTGTAGTTTCACCATTCATATAGAGAAGTAGACCCTCCTAAGCAGTAGCGTAGTGTAGTGGGGGTAGCAGGGGCGGCCCGCCCTAGGCGGCACTTTTTAGGTTGCGGCAAAATTCCACAATAAATAATAATAATATCTTGTAAGAATTTGAACCATTTTATTTAATATTTTCGGCCACCTACGATTCGGACCGATTGAAATGAGCACGGAATAGTGTTACCATCCGGACAGTCCGGAATCGACTCACCGTCCGGGGATGTCGTGCGCAACCTGCCGATTTTTTTTTTTTTGTTTGTACGATTTATTCGTGTGTATATATATATATATACACCTTCAATATCCAATAGAGCTAGGTCACTTGCGTTACTCTTATCCAAGTCTCTCTAGTATATATATACACCTTCAATATCCAATAGAGCTAGGTCACTTGCGTTACTCCTATCCAAGTCTCCCTAGTCGCTAACTGTAACTGATTTAGAACCGGCATGCACTGCAAATTATTCTTTGCGTTGCAAAATGACATAAGCATGCATCAGGAACTTCTGTTCGAACAAACCTCACCTGCCGTCCGGGTTAGCAATTTTAAAAAAGTGGCAACATTAGCAAGGAATTTTTCATTACTTATTCTGTGACGAAACTGAATTTTAGTCTTTTAAATTGAGATACCTAAATAAGGGGGCGAAATTTTCCTCCGCCCCGGGCGGCTGACACCCACGCTACACCACTGCTTCTGACTTTACGGACATCGTCAATTGTACATCACATTTATCATCTATAATAGTTTACGTGTGTTAATCTGTGATAAATAGATTAACTGGTGTCAGTCCTGACAAGATCTCGATTCTCGATTTTTCCGAATCGTGATATATATATATTTATTTATTTAAAGCTTGGAAATCCATCCTTCAACGAGAGGGCTAGTCCAACCGACTAGATGCTGAGTAAGCAATAGAGAGTATATTCAAGACCCTCTACCCCTGGCCAGAACCTTACAGTAATGATATCAATTAAAATATGGATTGACATAAAGCAGAAAAAAAATAAAACTGATGTATATGTATATTTGCCCTTAGTGGTTTCTGGAAAAATTGCAATGGAGATAAATATAGTTGTGCATACTCTTTGAAACTGATTTTTCAATTTAAAACAGATAATCTGTGAGTTGTTTGCAGAAAATTATGGTAATTTTTTCTGTATAGAATGTTATGATAAAAATAATGAGAAAGATGAGTTACACCTTTACAATCTTCAGATCTTACTGTTACAGATGAACTGAAAAGTAGTTGTTGTCAAAATTTAGTGAATTTCAAAAAATGAATTTTTTATCTATATTTTCTAGTTATGGAAATATATAATATATAGATATATTACAATATTTGTATTAATGTATTCCTAAAAATGGCTCAAATATCAGGAAATTTTTCTTGTTACTTCATATGAGAAAAATTTAGCTTGTTTTCATTTCATTGAAATGAGAACAAACTAAATTTGAATGAGAAAAAGCTAAAAAATTATTTAAAAAAAGCTGATATCATTTAGCTTTTTTCATTTTTTATCTCCAAATACCATTAAAAATGCTGAAAAATTACATTTACCTATCCAACCATGATTTTACCATGATATTAAACATTGCAAACTCCAGTTACCTTACTTATAAACACTTAATGAGATTGTGAAAATATGTAAAATGTGATACTGTGCTATGATTGATTAAATTTACAAAAAGTTGTTTAATATGGAATATTTTCAACTCCAGTTTGAATCATTCTCAGCATACATGTAAATTGAATGCTGAATAATAAAGCTGAATATTTACAAGATTAGAATGTATTTTTTAAAATGTACAAAATAGTAAAATTAGGATGTTAAACTTAATGCAATAAAAATATTTAATGATAAAATAAAACATAACTGTTGAAAATAACTGTTCAGATGAAATTACATAATTATAATGATAAGAAATTAATAAAACTAAGTAAAAATTAAAAATTGCAGGTTTATTAGAGATTTAAAATTTATTAATTACCTTGCTACATAAAAGATAAACTAAATTAATGTGCAAGTTCAAGCACAATCTATAGTATAAGCATCATGTTGATTAATGACATTAAAAGCTACATGCGTATGTTCTGGAAATCTAAGATGTAAATAATTGGGGAAATTCAGAAATTAAGATAAAGTTATCTCAAAAAAACCATGGTATTATCATCCAAGACTGATAAAGGTAAGTTTTGTGAGCCAACATCAAACATTTGGTTAAATATGCTTTTATTTAAAGTAAGGAGACAAAATAATAATAGATATTCTGATCTTTCATTTACTTCACCAAATAAACTTTAATTTTGTCCTTAGATATGATTTTATCCTTGTTCAAACATAAAATACATAATGGAATTAAATTATCTAATGGAGAAACTAATTGAGTTTATTAGCATTAAGGCTTAAACATACATTCATAAAAACAAAGGAGTTCATAAATATCTTAAAATTGATAAACATTTTCAAAACTGAGTTCTGTCTTCATATTCAGTTGAAAATTAATTGAATAAGTACATAGGGGCTAACTGTAATGTTTTACACAGCAGTTGCACATTTAAATTGATGCAGATTTTCTATAGTGGTTTAAATTGAAATTTGTTTTCAAATGTTTTTATTCAAGTGAGACTCAAATGTTTTGAAAACATTTATCAATTTTAAGGTATTGCTTTATTTTCATGAATATTTTCTAAAGCTTTAATGTTTATCTAAGGAGTTGGTAAGCATAGTCAAGTAGTAATAAACACACTTTACACTGGATGAAAGATATGAATATCACTCACAAAACCAAAAATCCAGTTTATAGATAAAAAAGTTGAAGTAAAACATGTTTCCAATTGCCTTGAGCAACCCTCTTCAGGTTGATGTTTGTTTTCCTTCAACTTTTTGATCTGTGAGCTGGATTTTTGGTTTTGTGAGTGTATTTGTAGTCAAATAGTGTAATTTCAGTATTTTTTAGCAAAGGTTTTATTGTAGTTGTTAAGAATTTACCTATAAGTCATAAGTTTTTTCCTAAGCTTTAAATATATTAAACTTGTTGGAAATATGTATTATAAAATAATTAACACTACAGTACAGTATTGCAGCGTTACAATCACGATTTTTTAATTAAGACATACTCACTAGTACTTTCAATAGCTTATAGTCACCATCCTCAGGCAAAAAAGAAATCAAATAAAATTAATTTCCGAACATTTGGCTTTCAAACTGACTTTTTCAAATTATCCAAGGCACATGGATGGAATGCAGAACAAATTGAAATTAAAATTTGTCAAAGATATTTCAATTTAATTTCAGTTTGTTCTGCATTCCATCCATGTGCCTTGGATAATTTGAAAAAGTCTGTTCGAAAGCCAAATGTTTGGAAATTAATTGTATTCAATTTCTTTTTCACCTGAGGATGGTGGCTATAAGCTATTGAGAGTACTAGTGAGTATGTCTTAATTACAAATTGTGATTGTAACTCCACATCACTGTAGTGTTAATTATTTTATTTGATTGTTGGCATAAAGTGTCTTTTTATGATCAATGTATATTGTATGACGAATATCTATTTCTTGATTGAAATGTTAATTCTGTAAAGTAATAATGAAAAAGAAAATTTGGTTGTAAACTTTTAATGAATTGATTATGAAAAGTTAAATTTAATTGTAAGAAATTATATTTTCTCAGAAAGGTTTATAAAGTAATCAAATCAATATGTTTGAGATATGATTTTAATCACAGACAATAAAAAAATTTAAAAACAGGATTTTGAGATGAACAAATATCTAAAAATGTTTTCTACATGTCAAGATAAAGTAAAGTGTTTACAAAACTATTTTTGATATAAATTTCATTTAAAGGATACAGTGAGTCATTGTGCTGAAATTGAGAAATCATTATCAGATTATTTTGGAAACAGTCCAAGATAAATCTATGTTGAGTCATCTTATTATCAAAAATGATAAAGATTTCTTTATAAAACATTAATGACTTAACATAGATTTAATTTGGTAATAACATGACTCAACATTATATTTCATCTAAGAAAGTAACATATCTTTCAGAGTTTATTAGATAATTTTTTAAAAAATCCTTTAATTGTAGGAAATTATATCTTTTCAGAAAGACTTATGATTATCTTACTTTAAACAAAAATTATATGGAGAATTAATATTTTTAATTGTCAACTAAAGGATTTTAATGCTGAAATACAGCATATTTTTATTGATAACATTGTATTCCATGATATTTTTTTTTCTTGTCTTACAGATTTTTTTTTATAAATACAATATTTTCTGTAAATACTAATTTATTAAAAATTAAAGTTTTTCAGTGATACAATATAGTGTTTCTTATAAATTGTTAAATAGTTGCTGTTAGTGTTGTATAATTTATTAAAAACAGTTAAGTTATATATTGTTTCTGTAAAATGTTTTCAGGTGGTTCAAGTAAAGGTCGCACAAAACCATTTTGTGCTTGGTGTGAAGATAATAAGAAAGATCTGAAATATTGTTTAAATACTGGACAAGGACGTAAGGATTTTTGCTCTGACACATGTATGGCAGAATATAAGAAGGCTTATATAAAGGTAATTTATTTAAATATTTATTTTAATTTAAAAATAATGTGTTTTAAAAAAATACATTATTTGTTAAAATGCTTAAAAATCTTTCATATATAATCAATGCTTTATACAAACTGACAAGATTGGCTCAAGAATAAAAATTCAAAAATACCAGATATTTACAAATTATTAAAATTTACTAGAAGTTTTATAACTATATGAGAATTTTTGTTTGAAATTCTTAATTTGTTTTTGTAATTATTACACATGAAAGCATGTTAAAATAAAGGAAATAATTTCATTTGAAACTCCTGTAATATATATTTGAACTAAAGATTTTCTTTGAGAAACTTATTTTACAGTTATTAACCTCTTCTCATAAATCTTCCACTTCAGATTGCTTCTTCCTGGATCAATAGGACTCTCTCCTTATACTAAGTATATCAGAAGATTTTGTAGTTACTATTAAGTCAAATAATCAGTATGATTTGGTTGGTGATATTTTAGAAGATACAGGTATACCTCGCCTTACGTCGGTAATTGGTTACAGGAGAACGACTTAAGTCGAAAAACGACGTAAGTCGAATTTACTTGTCTCCGAATCTACTTGCCACTAGGCTAAACCATAAATTACCAATTTCCATTCTGTATTTTATTTATTAATGCATTTTTAATAATATATGGTTAATAAGGATCTATTTTAAGCTTACAAACAAATAAATTTTAGTTTTTAATATAGTACAGAAAAAAGTAATTTAAATTTACGAATGCATGTAGGCTACTGTAAATACAGTATATACTTGTAAATGTATATATTATAATATGATTTTATGTGCTTTAAACATTTTTCTAGTGATATTACGACTTCAATATTTGTGGCGGACAGACATAAAGTCGAATAAAATGACTTAAACTTGACTTTTATTTTTTCCATATACTTTTTTTACAAACGACGTATAATCGGGAACGACATAACTCAAAACGACGTAAGTCGAGGTATACCTGTATATTGTCCAGTGAAGTTCTTGGCTTGACAAAAACATTCATCCTATTGCTAATTCAAAGATAAAATCTAAATTGACAATAAAAAATTAATCTTTCATTTTTTAAAACAAAAAAGATAAATTGCTGGATTTCCAGTTAGAAATAAACGAACTAATTATCAACTTGATGATGAATACATACTATTTCAGTAATGTGTAATTTCAATAAATGATTTATATTTTAAAATGTCTGTAATAAAAATTACAAAATTATTGGAAGATAAATTATTTAAGAATATTTTTGATGTTAACATTTTTCTCTCTCTTTTACTCTGATTCCAAAAGAATAGAGTAAAAGAGAGAGAAATTCTTGTGTTTCTGAAATATCATTAAACTGTAAATGAATATTCAAATGAATGGAAATTACAGTTAGAATGCATATAAGAAAAATTTCATAAACATGTTTCCTGACTGTAATCAGACTGCACATATATGTATCTAGGGATGTCTCAATACCATAAAAGTATCGATACTTGCCAGTATTGACATCAGATATAGAAACTGGAAATCTTGCCAGCTGTTGCTGTTTAGTCTGTCACATTGCCTTCTAGCTGTTACAGTACAATACCTCTCAGTAGAAGTACCTTCTTCTTGTAACAGTACAGTACCTTCTCAACAATAAAAATAACTACTGCTAAGAAGGTATTGTACTGATTATAATGAAGGCTGAGTTGGCATCAATTAATATTTTGTTGCTTACTCCAGAGAATTGAATCCTGAATCTGGTTCAGGAGTCAGTGCATCAGTCAGTACTTCAGTTTACACTCGTATGATATCTTATGTACAATATACAAAAGAAGCTCCAGATCTATCACCCTGCTAATGGGCTCTGTGGCTACTATACATGGGATATGAGTAGAGTTGCCACCTTTTCAAAATTGCTGACCCAGAGGGCAGGTGAGGTTCGTTCGAACAGAAGTTCCTGACGCATGCGCAATGTCATTTTGCAATGCGAAGAATAATTTGCAGTGCATACCGGTTCTAAATCAGTTATAGTTAGCGACTAGGGGGAGACTTGGATAGGAGTAACGCAAGTGACCTAGCTCTATTGGATATTGGAGGTGTATATGATTACGAATGAATCGTACAAGAAAAAAAAAAGCAGCACTGTGCCTAATGCCAACGACTACCACACTAGTAATTCGGTACACAGGGGAAGAAATATATGTGACGGTTTGCATATAATTTTGTACATATTCATTTCAACTTGCACAACCCGGAGAAATATTAATTAACCCGGAGCCCAGAGATAACTCACTCAGTCCCGGAGTCTCCGGGTCAAATCCAGACAGGTGGCAACCCTAGATATGAGTGGATAAGAAATTGTTGGTGAAGAGGTAAAACAGTGTTTGTGAGACTAATCGGGGGTAGGACGTTTACGAGTTCTTGACTCTCCTACCTCTTACTCGACTCGAGACCTTGAGGTCCGGTCTCAGTTGTCTAAAGGATGGGTTCTTTTGAGCGGAAGGGTTTTAAAGTTAAGGATCACTAGATCCTTATTTCATGTCCGGATCTGACACCAATCTATCATTTTCTTAGCGGATAGATACGTGTTTAATTTGAGGAGGAATTATCACGAGCGATCTCGTCAAGTACTTCAGGTTCCATATGGAGATGATAATGTCAGAGGAAACGCACACCAATCCAAGTTCATTAACAATATACCCGTTTATTGTTGAACATTTGTACACAGATAATTAATTAGGGAATCGAGGTTACAGTTCCCTCTCGGGATTTTCAATCCGTAATTCATAAGTTTCGGGGTTGATAGCGGACAAAATATATATTAGTCACAACCCTAATCGCAAGTTGGAAATATTCGAGAGAGAGCTTACATACCCTCGTGAGTAGAATAAATACCTCTAGTTATAACGTTGATGTTGGGTTGATCTGAGCTCTCGTTCTTCCCAAGTTTGTAATTCACTCCAAAGTTTGAAGTCAAAATTCAAAGTCGTAATCAAAGTCTATTGAAGACGGTGGCGATGAGAGGCAGGTAATCCACGGGCACACTCACAGTATAGAAAAATAACTTTTTCCCCCATGTCATCATCGCACTTGCCTTTTATATATGGGGCTCTCTTTTCGAGATCTCCCCATATACGTCACAGGTGATGATCTTCTTTGACCAATAGTGCGTGAAGTGACAAAATTATGACACAACAGTTAACTCATCTTCTACAAGGAAGTATTTTCGTGGGAACGGAGTTTTATGAGCGATTTTTATGAGAAAATTTGTCGGTTGTTTTTCTCTTTCTGAGTTAACCCTAACTTTTATAAAATTGTTTTGGTTTCGAAACAAAACCAGTAGATGAAAATGAATAAAAATATTTGAATCTTAAATCCGGACCCTCACAGTGTCTTTACATTGAAAGTTCTTTATTGTATTCATATTTTACTAATGTCTGTTCAAACAAATACATACAAATTGTAGTTTATGTTAAACATCACCAATGGTCCAAGTTGATTAACAAACAAAATTACTGTATGATGTTTAACTAAATATTTATTTTATATATACTAATCAGAAGTAAGTGTATTAATTATTTTTATTAAGCATATGAGTTATAATAGGACATATATTAACATATATATATATATATATATATATAGTAATGTAACCATCATTAGCAGTTAAATGTTAATACTGTTGAAAATTCTTGTGGATATGTTAGATATATGTCTGATAATAAGCACTAAAGTCATTAGAAGTATTTCACCAGTGGTTAATTGTCAAAGCCTTTGAATAACACTTTATAGATGCGTCAGTTATTTGTATGACTATACAAATACTGTAAACATCAGAAGTATCTCACTAATAGGTGAATATGAACTTATTTAAACATCACTTGAGAATGCATTTATTTCACAAGTAATTGTCAGTAATCATGTTTTTACTTTGTAATAACCTGAATTGTATTTATCTTTATCTTTAAAAATTATTGTGTTATTTTTAGATGTAATACTGAAGAGGAATCACTAAGATGGTGTGATTTGAAATGCATTTATATTAGAGAGAAACTAATAAAAAATGCATCAAATGCCAGCATAGTTACTTTGTTTGTTGTAGTTTTAGACAACTGAAATTCGGAATAGAAGATCTGTACCAAAATCACTTGGTTTACAAATTAAGAAAGGAGGACAGAATAAATACTTCCATTTCAATTTCTGATTCGGCTTCCAAATCTAGTTTTGTACAAACCTTACTTGTCTGTAAAAAATATAACGATTCCAGATCTGATACCCGGGGAAATTGTCAATACAGTATCAGTATCAACAGTGTCAGGACATCCCTATATGTACTGATGAGTGGCTCAAAGGAAAATATTTTTGTAGAATTCAATTATTCATTTTCATTATATTGTATTGTATTGTATTATTTCACTATATTGTATTGTGATAATAAAATAAATAAAAATTGGTTTACATTACTTATGTGAATTAATACATTGTACATTATTTTTATAGCATTACCATGATACTCAAATGGCGTTATGTGCTGCAATTTGAAAATATTGTAGGACTATAAATTTCCACTGTCGTCTGTTCATCTGTCTTTCCTTAATCTTGAGAATGGAATTAGTTACATGAAATCCGAGACAGATATGGAAACCTTAGGGACTGGAGGCTCCAATTGACTGTTATTTCAGTTCAAAAGTTTTCCCCTGAAAGCAGTTAATAGATGATCGGCACGACTCTATTGTTAAAGGAAAACTATAATGTAGAGGGGCAAGCCTCTACTAATTTGAGATGGATATATTTTAAATGAAATAAATTTAAAATATGATTAAAAATTTCAGCCTGGCATTGTGACAATCTCATAATAAATAATCGCTTGTTTTTTGTATTGAATTATTACAAAATTGAATTAAAAAGTTTGTTAATTAATGGATTAATTGGATAAATATTTTATTATTAAACACAACATAAATTTTTGGATTTTTAATAATTACTATCTTATTGCTGAATACTTTGCAGGGTAATCAGAAAACTTAGCAGTTGCATGAGCACAAGAATTTATGAAAAATTATAAAATCATTTTATTGTATATAAATCATTAATAAATATATATTTTATATCATCTAATAAGTATTAATGATATTTCAGAGTACTTGTGCTATTTGTGGAACAAGTATAGAAGGATCTCCAGTACAAATAGAAGAGCATGGTCAGATAAAAGAACTCTGTAGTACAGAATGTTTTCAAAAGTATCAGTTAAAGGAAGGAGTTGTAACTTATCCTGAAAAGCCTAGAGGGAAACAATCTAATGGCACTCCATATCAGTATGAAAGCACAGGTTATTGAATTTTATTTTTATAATAATTGTTTAAAATTAAATACATTTATGGTATTCTTTTAAATTTGTTTGTTTTTAATTAGACAAGTTTTAATGTTCGGTAAGCCCACCAATAGTGCCTCTACGTCTGGTATAATGTTTATATCATCCCTTCTAGGAGGGGGTGCAAATTTTGGCCCTAAGCTCAAGACCTCTTCGACAAATGTTGGTACTTGCAAATCATCCCATATGATAAACGGGAACTTTGGGCTATTACGCTTGTTAGGTGATTGGAACTTTTATATAACAAGCGTAATAGCCCAAAGTTCCCGTTTATCATATGGGATGATTTGCAAGTACCAGCATTCGTCGAAGAGGTCTTGAGCTTAGGGCCAAAATTTGCACCCCCTCCTAGAAGAGATGATATAAACATTATACCAGACGTAGAGGCACTATTGGTGGGCTTACCGAACATAAATAAAGAGTATTATAGGTGGAAAGCCACACATATTATTAAAACTGGTAAAGAGCAAAGTGAAGTAGAAAGGTTGAGAACAAAAATTTGGCGCACACGAAAGTGGATGAAACAGAATGGAATCATGTTAGTTAGGGCCGATAAGTCCAAGGCTATGGTCCTCATGAAGCGCAATACATATGACCAATTGTTGTCGGAGCACATTAAGAGTACCAGATGTGACATTGTGCAAAGGGATACGGTGGACAAGCTACAGACGAGTTAAGCGCTTCGCTAACACTAAACTGGCTAAGGGACTGGAAATGAGAAATATTATAGTCGATGTGCCGGATACACCGAAGTTGTTTGCCTTCGCAAAAATCCACAAGGTAGGACAGCAACTTCGTCCTGTTGTAGATAAGGCCAGAGCTCCGACACATAAAATGGAGAAGTTCGTCCACAAGCTTATCATGCCCTACTTGGAAGATTATCTGTACATGCTGAAGGACCTTGTGGATCTTATAGATACCCTCAATAAGATCACCGTAACACCTAAGTTTCTCACAGTATTGGATTTCAAGTCGCTGTTTCCATCAATCCTACTCCCGCCTGCCTTTTGCGCCATCAGAGATTTACTACTCTCTATCCTCAATGATAATACGGTACACCAGCAAATTCTTGAGATGGCCCATCTACTGTGTTACAATTCCTTTTTCCAATTCAAAGGTAGCGTGTACACGCAAGGAAGAGGAGTCCCTATGGGTAGTCCGATATCTGGTGGCTTATGCGAGATGGTGGTTAGACTACTCGAAGCTAAAGTCCTCCCACACCACCTCCACAACATCATTTTATATAAGAGATATGTTGATGATGATATCATATTGTGGAAAGAAATTCCGGACATTAAGGCTTTCGTCGACACAATGAATAATAACACGTATGGATTAACCATAGAAATAGAGCAAGCGCACTGGACGAATATACACTTCCTAGATATTGACATCAAAGTAGAGGAGTCGGTAATCCACACGGCGGTGTACCGTAAGTTAGGAACAAAAGGCATGTACATACCAGTAGGGTCATGTGACCCACCGCAATATAAAATGGCACCATTTAAGGCCCTAATTAACGCGTTAAGTTCCCAGCAGTTTTTGATATAATTGTAATTAAACATAAAAAATACTTAAACCTGAAAAAAAACGAAAGAAATGCGTTAATTTTGAAGAAAAAGCTTCAAATTTTATTTTTTTTTTACTCGCCTTTCTGTGAAATTTAACACAGATGAGTTATTGTTTACACAGCTGGATGACCTTGAACACAGCTGGAGTCGGATTTCCCGGGACATTCTCATAGAAGTCTCGGGAGGACAAGGGTTTAAAGTAGGGTGACATCGAAATTTGCATATATTTTTAAATATTTTTAAAAAATTACAAATTTTATTGCGATTTCCGACCCCCCCTAATCAATTAAATTAATATAAAATAAAATATATTAATTAAAAAAATTTTAAAACTTTGGAGGTCGTTTTTGACATCAGAAACTAGCTTTAAATAACTTTACCGAAGTAAAATTAGTGCGCTACAACTTAGGAACCATGAAATAAAATTGATAAAAAACTCTCATTAAAAAACAATTAAGCGTTAATCGAGCCTTATCAAAGGCTAATTAAAATCGCGATAAAATTTTTTCGCGCGGGCAAAAAATTTTGAAAAAATTTGGGGACCTAAAAAACATTCCAAAAATTCAAAAAAAAAAATTTTTGTCAAAAATGGCTATAAGGACCACGTTTTATGTAAGGCTATATAGCGTGCCCGAGTTAACTCGGGCGAAGAACTAAACGGGTTAAGAGAGCACACACACACTCTTCCACTGAGCGAGCCCTACAAGCAGAGCTAAGACTTACACAACGAATAGCCGCTGAACACGGATACAGCAAGCTCGTGTGCAAGTTATTGCATGATTATGAAAACACAAATCAAGACCTACCGCAAAGAGAAGAGCGACAAGATATGGATAAGATCGTTCCAGTTAATTATAATCCATATATTAGACGACTATATGGAGAAATAGCTAAAAAGAACCACATACGTATAGCCTACAGAAGGTGCGCTTCGATATTCAACATATTAATCAATGCAAAAGATCAACCTGATAAAGATAGGCTGTCAGGGGTCTACAGCATACCGATGATAGATTGCAGATGTGATAGAAACCTTCTGTATGTGGGCTCCACCAAATGATCCTTAGAGGTTAGACTCAAAGAACATGCTGCGGATATTCAGAAACAAAGGAGCACGACGGCTCTAGCAGTATATGCCTCGGATCCGGATATAGACCCCGAATTTACGAAAGCCAGAAATATCCACACCACACGGCAGGTACACCATATCAGATGGCTAGAGGCGGCCAGCATATACTTAGCTAACCTTAAGGATAATCAATGCATCAATTATAAAGAAGAGATTACGTTATCAACAGCGTGGCTAGCGTAGTAATTTATGATATCCGTTTTGGAGTCGACTGCGCATGACATACAACGACGGAAATGGGAAACGTGCATTCGAACATACGTATTTCGAATTTAAAGTTTTTTATGAGCTGTTTTTTTTTTTCATCAGAGATTCGAAAAAAAGCCTGAAGGAGAACCGTTACAAGGGTAAATAAATAAAATACTTTCTTACTGGAACCACACAATAAATAAAATCAACACCTTTAAACAATCCAGCAAATCGTTTAATACTTTAAAAACGCTTTTGAACGCTTTAAGCGATCATCATCAGTTAACTTTGTGAATCACACGAAGAAATTCGAAACTACGTAAAATGAAAATTTCAAAAAGCGGTTACATAAATATATGTTAACATTTACCAAGCTTAAATAATTGTAAGAATTATACAAGTTAAAACAAAATAAAGAAAATAAAATAAATTATATGCATCCAATAAAAATATCTTAAATAATCTTCCCGCTTACATAAACTACGTCACTCATCGTAGAAGGATTTCCATGCCGACGACAATCCGTCAGCATCCCTATGATTAATACAGCTTGTGCGCATTTGCGCCTTGTGAATTTCTAGTTTTTCCAGATGTTTCACAGCCTGCCTGGATTTTGTGGCTTTAATGATCGACGCCCGATCCCAAAAGACTTCGATATTCTGCTGCTTGGCAAAGGCCGCAAGCACCGTAGAGTCTATGTTTTTATTGACTGATTGCTTATGTTCAGCAATCCTTTTCTTTAAGTTTCTTAAGGTTGCCCCTATGTACACTAGATTGGTGTTAAATCTACGGTCTTTTAATGGTATAGAGTACACTCCTGCCATCGCGTTGCGTTCGTAACTGTCTTTATCATTTTTTAGGAGCCTGTATATGGTGGGATTACGATTGTAAACTATCTGTACATTCTTATCCTTGGTAACCTTCTTAACGAATCCTTTGAGGAACGGTATGTAATTGAGTACGATTCTTTCTTTACGTTGATTCCCTCCCTGAGAGGGGTGGCGCTTCCGACAATTTGCAATGAGAGCATCTATTCTTTCTCTACGGTACCCTTGCTGCATTGCTATGTTTCTTATATACTCTAATTCTTTGTAAGTGTCGCAGACACTTACAAAGATTAGAGTATATAAGAATGCTCCCCCTCAATGCTTGTTGAATGCATTGGAATACGGTCCTTGCTTTGCTCCTACACCGATAGTACGCCCGGAGGACATCATTCCGAATGTTGAATTGCTTGTAAAGAACATGAGTTTAACTATGCAGGATTACTGTAGATGGAAAGCGAGATTCCAAGCTGAAAATGAGAAACGAAACAACAAAAACGCGTTACGTTTCCAAACATGTATAAAAGAAACCAGAGACTGGCTCAGAAGGAATGATGTTGTACTCATAAAAGCGGATAAAACAAAGGGTATGGTGCTCATTAAGAGGGATTCATATAAAAGGAAATTACATGAATACATCATTACTACAGAATCGCTTATTGCACCGGATAATTTTTTAGAAGCTTTACATCAAAGGGTGAGGAGATTTACGCTAACCCCTTTGGCCTGTCTTCTGGATATGGAGAGAGCTGTTGTGCAGACCCCAAGAACCCCAAGAATTTTTGCGTTCGGAAAGACATAAGCCAGGAACACAGCTGCGCCCTGTGGTGGAGAAGTGTAATGCTCCTACGTTCAAGTTGGAGAAACAACTGGTTAAGTTTATACGGAGAAATATGCAAGACTCGCCTTTTTCGGTAAAAAATGCAGTGGAGTTGCTGAGAAAGTTAGAGGATGTCATGCTCATGGATAAAGAATGGATGACGGTATTAGATTACAAAGCTCTATACCCATCAATTAAATTACCTCCCTGCTTTTGCGCCCTGAGAAACTTTTTATTAGCAAAAATTAGCAATTCTATGAAATATCACATGCAGATCTTAGAATTGGCGGATTTAGTATGCCACACATCTTTCTTTCAATTTGAAGATAAAACTTACTTACAGACGCGGGGCGTACCGATGGGTAGCCCCATGTCAGCTATACTCTGCGAATTAGTGTTGCATAATCTCGAAAATCATATACTCC